CTCATAACCGTAATGGCCCTCATGAGTGCGGAAAGTGGTCTTTGGAATGTCCTCCACGCACATTCGGATTTGATGATAACCCGATTTCAAATCGAATTTGGTAAAAATAGTAGCCCCAAACAATTCATCCAAGAGCTCTTCAATCACCGGTATGGGGAACTTATCCGGTACTGTAGCCTTGTTGAGAGCGCGATAATCAACGCAAAAACGCCAACTGCCATCTTTTTTCTTAACTAAAAGCACAGGGCTAGAAAATGGGCTATTGCTTGGTTGAATGATCCTAGCCGCTAGCATCTCACGCACCAACTTTTTAATCTCTGTTTTTTTTTTTTGAAAATGAGGATACTTGTAGGGCCTAACACTAATAGGAGCGGTACCCGGTTGAAGAATAATGCGATGGTCATGCAAATGTTGTGTGTGTGGGGGAATAAGACACTGATCTGAGCAGGAAGCGACTGGTCCGGTTCCTTGTTCACATCCAAGGTGTGTAATTCCAAGTAAATTCCTTGTCTCTCATGCTTTATAGTCCGGAACATTGCTTTAAGAGAAACCATAGTGGTAGAGAGACTCATATCGCCTCGCAACGTAACCGTCTCCCCCCGAATCTTGACCTTCACCAATTGGGACTTCCAATTCACATGCATTCCCCCCAAAGTTTCCAACTATTGCATGTCTAGAATCACATCCACTCCTCCCAACTCCAATGGCAAGAAGTTTTCCACAATTGTTAATTGAGGTAAACTCAATGCCACCTCACGGCAAAGCCCCTTTTCCCCTAACCGATTCGCCTGTGCCCACTTGTACTCCAAACCCGGCAGTGGGAAAAATTGGTATAGACAATCTCTCAACAAGACTTAAAGAAATGAAGTTGTGAGTTGCTCCGGAATCAATTAGAACAATTACCTCGTTTTGAGCAATCATTCCACGATGCTTCATAGTCTTCGGTGTCGAAAGCCCAACCACGGAATTCAAGGACAACTCAATAAGCTCGGGCTGCCATTCCTCCCAAAACGGCCTTAGACATGTCAAGATCTTCCTCTTCACACTCAATTGCATCATCATCGCTAACCAACATGATTCGGAGCCCCAAAGTGAACTTCTCATCGCACCTAAAACACAACCCCTTATCCTTCTTCTCTTGTAACTCGGAGTCTGACAACATGCGAAAAGGAAAGTCTCGCTTTTGAGTTGCTATTTTGTCCAAAGTGGCTGGAGCTTGCGGTGGACGCTCGACTCCCGACAATGTCCTAGCAGGAAATGTAGTGAATTCAGCCCTTGGACCACTAGGAAATTGAGGTCTTGACATTCTTGTTCCCGAGACCTCTCGACGAAGCAACTCATTCTTCTCTTCGATCCTTTGAGCTATCTCCATAATTTCACCTAAACCAACCGGTTTCAAGAGCTCAGCCCGAACCTCTGCCTTTAAACCATTTACGAAGATTCCTTCTAAAATTTCTTCCGGAACATCTTGAAGCGGAGCTGTGGAAACCTCAAACTGCCTACGATATTCTGCAGTGTTCCTTCTTGTCGGATCGCCAAAAACTTCTCACAAAAATTTCGTGCCTGCGAAGAATGGAAACGCTGTAATAGTGACAACTTGAAGTTTGTCCAGTCGTGAAAAGGTCAGCGACCATTCCGCCATTGGAACCAAGATACGACATCTCCCTCTAAAGCTATGCTGACAGTGATTTTTTCCCTTTCCGAGCAGCGGTTGATGGAAAAGAATTGCTCCATTCGAAACACCCAGCCGTCGGGATCGTTGCCACTAAAAATTACACTCTACCTGCCGTCGGCGGTGAGCAGCCCACTCATTCATCGCAACTCCCCAAGTACGCCTTTGATATCCCAACCCTCCTTGAACTGTACTCCTACATTAGGAATTCCTCCTCTTTCCACTCGATAACCATCCACACCAAAACCACAACGCCGATCGCAAAATCCATGATTTTCAGACTCCACGAAAACGCCACGCCCCTCCTTGATGCCCAGTCACGTTTTCCCCTTGGGCACCCATCGGAACCTCTCTTTAGGCGTTGGGCGTCGCGCTCATCCTTCCTCCCTTCGCGACAAAGACTTCGTGAAACCCTAGGGTCCGCCAGTCAATCTCCTCCCTGCGCACACAAACCAGAAGTTCCCGCCGGTAACGTCACATTCTGCAAAACCCTAGGGTCCGTCACTCGCTCCTCGTTCCGCGCGCGCAACCCAGCGATTTCCTCCATATGCGACCCCGCGGCCCCGGTCGGAAACACCTCGCGATCTTCCTCTAGCACGGACGTTGAAACCCCTGTCTTCTCCGGCGCCACAAACAACTTCATATGTTCTTCCATTAGCTGTCGGAGCTCAGTAAGATTTTGAGTTAATTCCGCCCTAACCTCCCCGATTCCCTTCTCCATCTCACCGATCCCTTTTTCCATCGAAGCCTTAACTTCCTTAATCTCCTTCTCCACAGATTCAAACTGTTCTTCTGATTTCTTACCCGTCATTATTGCCCTGAATTAATGCTCTGATACCGAAATGATAGAAGCTGAGTAATTTCTTCAAACAGAAATGAATCAAGAAGAAAGAAGGTATGATCTTTTTTGAATCACCAGAATGAATTACAGATCAGTTCTTCGAGATACTGCAAAACCTCCCCTACTTAGCCTAAGCCAAGACTTCCTCAACAAGACTCCAATTCTTTTATAACCTGACACTTGCTCTCTGTTTCTATTTATTCCCTCTCCTCCACTGACCCATCCCTTATTCACACTCTAAGGACCCATCCCTTATTCACACTCTATATTTTCTAACCGCTAACAAACTAATAATTCTAACTAACAAACTAACAACTAATACATGCTCACACCCATTTACTCTCTCCTGCCCTTCCTAACAAAAACCTGCCTAAGCAAAGGCTTAGTCTTATTAGTGCTGGACAGAAAGAAGAGGAAAAGAATTGCTGCAAAGGGAAACTAGAAGTAGAAGTCTTTAGATTAGTTGATAGTCAGCAACGTCTGAACTGAACGTTCAATGTATTAGCATTTTAATATCGAGGAAAAAAAAAAGGTTTATGTTGTGAAAAATCGTAACGCAAGTATACGCTATCGCAATCAAGTAATATAATAGTGAATAAGAATATCGTCTCACAAGGATTGTTGTTTACTAATTACCGAAATTGTATTAACCCCAATTTTATTTGAATACTTGAAAAGAGAATTTATAAAATTAAGTAAAGCAAAACTAAAAACAATTAAATAAATTAAACAATGCTAGCAATGGATGAAAATTCAATAGATTAAGATTCTAGGGTTTCCGATTTCACCAAATTAATCATGTTCAAATTCTCATAATTCAAGAAAATTAACATTCAATCCTATACTGACAGCAATTTCTCTAAAACAATTATTATTCTTTCACAAGCAATAATAATATTAATCCAACAAGTAAAATCTACATCTCTGTCAGACTTCTAAACCTGTTGAAAATCATTAAGTGCAAGAAATTCAAAAGAACTGCACAAGCATTATAGATATCTTTATCCTATGAACAACTCATGGTATTTCAATTAAGAGCTTAGTTAATTATCACCTCTCGGTCTCAAATTAAATACAAAATCATGTAATAGTTGGCCAAACAATCACAAGCATTAAGAATAAATTGAAATACTTAGCATATATGGATTAAACATCAATTACTTAAACATAAGATTGAGAATTTGAACATTCATAATCCGGCTACATCGTAGCCCTAGAAAAAAGAATTAGTTCATCTCTAAACAAAATAAATTCCTAAACAAAGTCTTAATCATTGGAAAGGAAAGAAAAGAACTAGTTTGGAGTTGAATTGAAACGTCTCCGTCTCCGGATTTGAGCCGTTCTTCTTCTCCGTCCCAATTCTCCTTTTCTTCTCTTGAATACTCTCTCAAAAGCCAGCCGTCATTCCACCGTCTAAAGTCCCTTCTAATTGCCCTAGAATCATCTATTTATATGTTTCGGAGCATTAGGGTCAAAATAGGTAAGTTTTCTCGCGATTGGCCTTCAAAACGCGTATTTTCTCGCGTCGTAGCGCCGCGGCGCTGAGTTCCTAGCGCTGCGGCGCTACTGTGTAAAATCCAGGGCGCTGCGGCGCTGTCATGGGCGCCTAAGCGCTGCCCATTCTGCCCCAATGCACTAATTCCGTCGGATTTCAGCGAAATTTGTCCAAAACCTTCCAAATCATAGACTTAAACCTAATTCAAACAAAGAACAAAAACACACATAAAAATTAACAAAAACCTTGAAAACCAACTAGATATTAAGTGTAAAATGATACTAAATGAGCGAGTAAAACTCACTCATCAGTTCACCAAGAAGCCAAACCAAAAAATATCTAAAGCTAAAATATGATAAAATAATAAAAACTAAACTGACTCTATCTTTTAGGTCTACTCTTAAGCTTTTATTTTTTTATTTCCAATTTCCATTAACATCCAGCCTACCAAACAATTGAAGAAATAGTTGTTGGGCAACTATCTCTAGGCCTAGCACCAAATTTCAGTTAACCACTCGATATGTTGAGCCTAGAAATTGATTGAAACGAAGGACTTCAATAAATTCTTAAGATGATAAATCGCATCTGAGCTTTCAACTGCCTTCAACATCTTAGTCAGATTTGTGCTTCTGCTAACTCCGTTTTAATACCTTTGTTAGGGCAAGTTCGTTCAAATTTTGACATCATGTTTTCTGGCTTATAAGCAATGTAGACATTAAAGTGATTTGAAAATGACAGGAAATCTATATCGGTTTGGCTGTTTTGGTGAGGATAATGTTAATAATCATTCTATAAGCAGCTTCTATAGTATATGGTTCTTTGCTGAAGGTCAATCCTAGGTAAAGGTTAGTTGTTTAGAGGCTAGGAGCCACTAGTGATTAAACCAAAAATAGGACAAAATGAAATACAATTAAAATGGCCGTTACTTTAATCTAGACATAATTTTTATGTAATACTTTCTTCTAATTTCAGTCTTGACATAACTTCTGCAGTTGATGATGTTGTTCTTTACAAATATGGAGAGAAATCTTCACGAGCCTTGACTTCAACTGGATTTCAGGACGTGACATTCAAATCATATACAGGGTATGTGATTAAAAGTAGATTTTCTTTTTAAGGTGATCATGTTAGATTAAGAAAAGTAGGAGTCAACATTTTTTGATGAGAATCCAACCCTCCATAACCGGTCGCTACCAGTAGAATATTTTTTTATACCTTACCATAACATTTTCCTTAAAATTATAACGGAGCCTTTTAATTTAAATTGAGCTACGAAGGTGAAGAAAATATAAATTCTTTCAAATATGCAGACTCGGCCATTATACCGTTCCTGAAGAGATGGATGAGCTCTGTGCTTGGCTAATTTCGAAGTTGGGGCTTGAGGGCCAAGGGAGTTCTTCAATGACAAAATGTTGAATTAGGAATTCAGAAGGGAACAGAAAGAAATGGGATGGAGAAATGTTCTTCAATTCTAAGCGACAAGAATGAAAGGAATCACAGGAGTGGTATTGGATGCAATGCGGACTTCTTATTTTTGACATCAGTCTACGTATGCCCTATTTGTTTATACTTCATAACTTTTATATTTTTTTGCTCAAGACACTTCACAACTTAATATTGGTTTGGCTGGTTAGTTGTTGGTTGTACGTTCATGATTTCCGTCTTAAAGGGTTTGAATTTCGCTATTTCTGAGGGTACTAGATAAATACTATCATGGTTCCCACTTTTAACCGGACGATAAAAATTGCCATATAAAGAATCATGAAGGTCAATATATACCCATTTCATATCTCTACATACACGGAGTCGGGACGGTACCTCCGGAAAATAAAACCTCTACATTTAAGAGTGAAATTGAGCGGCAAGTTGAGCATTGTTTGGTTGGACGGACGGAGAGCATTATAAGAATCTTTGGTGTCGACGAGAGGTAGTGTTGAAAGGATGAATAATAGTTATTTAGATAATTATTATATTATTGTTTTGTACAATAATACAAATTGTTTTTAGAGAGAAATAGTTTTTTAAAGCTTAAAGTTGAAGGAATGATTCAATTTGATGGATTAAGAGGGAGACTTACATCCCTTCAGTCTCCATCCTACTCAAGCTTCTTCCTCCCAACCAAACAATAGACTAGTTGGTCTCTCTCTTCACTCCTTCCCAAACTCTTTTTAAGTAAATAGGCAAGGGATCCATGGTAAAATGACCAAAATGCACCTTGTTCCGTTTTTTTTTTTTTTTTTTTCCTCCAGTCATTTAAATGGCATTTATGATCCCAAATTACTAGTTTTTAAGGGTTTGTTTCTCTTTAAAACCCAATTTATTCGATTCTGGAAAAACTTTTTTTTACGTTTTCGTTGTTGGAAAATGAGGATTTTGAATTCAAATTATTCTTATGAATTATCTTGATAAATAATTGATCAATTTATTGAGCTATTAGTTTATGGGAATGATCGCACTGAAATATTGAAACTTCATAACTGAATAAAATTTCACACTTCATAGGTTATTGGTAATAGTCGCATAATAATACATGAACATTCCTCCGTGCCTCTAAACTACCATTATTTGTATAAATCTTATATGGTCTAAGACGGTTTTATGCTTTTTGATGTTTCAAAAGAAACAACCCTTAAAGTTAGTACTCATTTAGAATTATGTTAATTGCACAAGTGATTCAATCCAATATATTGTACATCCACCTGTTGTTACTTGGAGAATCCTACTCTGTTGGTCAAGATAAACCTTCTCATTATGAGAAATGAAATAACAGTACAATCTTATGAAAAACAAAAGAGAAAATTGGTGAACTCACCCTTTAAGTGTATTGTTCTAAGATTTTTATTCTTTACTTTGCATTAATACCCTTTTGATTAATGTATTTTTTGACTAAAGAGTATTAATCAAATGTAAAATATAAAAATTTAAGACATGCATTCTAAGAGGTACTTGTCTCCTTTTACCAAAATAAAAAATGCCACCTTTATGTTTCGAGCATAACGTACAATTAATCAATTATATCTTCTTGCATTAGTTAAGGTTGTAAAGAAGTATATAGTCTTGAAGATTCACATGTACTTGTGAAACTTATATAATGTTGTCCACGATAGTAACTTGACAATTAAATGTCTGTAATAAATGAAATAAATCTTTAGGGATAGATAAATGTTATGCTATACATAAACGTATTTTGTTCCAAGCCATGAGATAACAAGGCTTGGTGCGGTAAGAGCTGACCGTCGGTAACAGAGCTCATATGAGTTTATATATATATATACACACATACATACTATTGCTTTAAAATAACATTCAAAAATACTTTTAAAAATTTTAAAGGTAGAATGAACATTTTATGTTTAAAAAAATTCAGAGTACCCAATGAGATTTTTTTTTTTTTTTTTTGAATATTAACATATCATTGTAATAGTTATTACATCTTCGTAATAAATGCAAAAACACAATGAAAATAAGAAAATTTCCCAAAATACAATTTAGTTTACAGTTTCTCAATTCTTTTCAACAAATGGAAGGAGACATAAGATACAAATATGAAAAGGCCTAAATGACAAATGATTCAAAAAATTAAGAAATTAAATAAAAAAACACTTACAGATACAAATGAACTCAAATCCAAAGACAAATTTTCTTTCCAAAATTGGAGCAGCTTCTTTTCGTCCATGTAGATTAACAAAGATTGGCAACGAATATTTCACATTGTGGTTTTCTTCCCAGTTTTAGAAGAGCACTTTTCACCTGCGACCTTACTAACAAAAGCCGTATCCCCACTTCTAGCTAGCGGTGACAGCAGGCGCTTCTCTTGATCGTCATCGATTTCTGCCGAATGACGAGGAGGGGTGCTCGATAAAGACTCACTACCATCTTCTGAAAACAATAAACTCAGAGCTTATTCTTATGTTAATGCCAAAAACAACTTATTCAAGGAAGAAAATGTCAAATACTCACCAGAAACTTCGTGGTATTCTGGCAGCTGTTTAACTGTTGATACCTGAAAGCTTTCAGGCAGCAAACAACTGCATAAAGTCCCTGGGATTTCAACAGAAAAAGTGAAAACAAAGAAGGGGAAAAAAGAAGAGAAAAGAAATGCAGACTAAGTACTAGGCCACAAGAATTCAATATATTTACTTCTTAGTCCATGAAAGAGAGAGTACAAGAGTGAAACAAAACAAGAAAACATAATCAATGATTTCTTAACAAAAAGGTGGGTGAGGTTTAAGAATTCATCATGAAAAGGAAATAATGGACATCCCTTTTCAGCTGAATTTAAAGCTTTTTATAAAACTATGAGAAATCAAGAATGGCGCTCTTTTAAAAATGAGAGTTGCTTCTAAACATGACTCGGGAGAGAACGCCTAGTGACGTTTCAATTTAGAATAAAGCATAATGGAACCGTACATCAACAACTTTATTGCTATTTTAAACTGCAGCTGTAAGACATTTATGTCCATCATAAAACAAGTTCAACACAGATGAAAATAAAAAGTAATGAATAAGTTCTCCGTTACCTAGCCGGGCAAGCCGATTCACCCACCCAGGGATCCTTTTTCCTGTCAATCTCCACGAAATGTCATCTGTAAAATGGTTGCAATTCTTGGAGAGGAGGTGATAGGTATCCCCATTATACTCCGAAGCGACACTCTCAATAAATGTTCGGAATTCATTGGATGACATGTTTATCCAGCCGAGGGAGATGGAGCATCTGTAAATGTAACCTGGGCAGTTCCTTGGTTCCACTTCAAAAACTCCACTAGCAGGGAAATCATGGGCTCCAAAACCATACTCCTTACCATGGACTGTTCGTACAAACAAGAAAGGAACACTGTAATAAACCAAATTTCTCGAGAAAAGGACAATTAGAAAGTTGTTTTGTAATCAATAATCTTCTTGTGAGCTTAACCATTAAAGAATAGAGTCTAGCTTATGTTTGAATTGTAGGATGTTATTTGCATTCCAAAAGTTCAAGATCAAAATTCCACTAAACCGAAATCTTTAAGAACCATAACCTTTATGGTCAATCAAATTGTAGCACTTAATTCTGAACAAAATGCCTGGTCTCCATACACGGTCCGTTTTGTTAAATTCTTTCCTCACTTTATTGGTATCTTCTATGAATAGCCCTTTAATCCCACAACTCAAACCAATATATGATATATGGCAAAGCTGCTTATAAAATTTCTCACAATAATTTTTACTTTTCTTTCTTTCTGATTTAAGATCTTTCAACGCTAGTTACTCATTTACCTTGCCAACATCCATCTAACTTAACTGTTAATTAATCGGAAAAGCAGAAACTCAGTTAGCTTTGTAGATGCAACACCCCTTTCTATTTTGCCCTTTCAAGTCATTGGTGACTAAAATAAATTCAAGTATTTTACCAAGGAAACTGATTTACTATGTACTTAGTTTGAGAGAAATATTATAAACACTAATTCAATACCAAAATTATAGTTACAAATATTAATTGACCAAATTAGAATTTAGTACAAGGTAAGCAATAAACTCTATCCAACACAAAATAAGTATACAAAAAGAAACAAACATCAACCAACTACCAGTTAACCTTAAACTACCAAAAAGTTAAACAGAGAAACCCCAATTATATTATGGCATGTAACATTCACCATCAATCACCAAGAACACATACAAAGAACTCGCAGCAGAAAAATTATAAAATATAAATATATAATATTCTTCAGAAAAGTTGAGCTAGACTAATACCCACGTATTAGAGAAACACATGAAATTAAACAGCAGAAAACTTTACAAGAAACCAAAAAAAGAAAGAAAAAACGTTTCGAGACCTTCAATGCCGGAGTGAAAGATTCCGAATCCGAACCAGTAGGTGTAACCGTTAATGGGGGTGAGATCATAGACATTCAAGACAACCTCGGACTCACGGTTCTTGTTGTTGGTCCTATCAAACCCGCCGCCGCCTTCCGAGGTGCTTTCCGCCACCATTTCTCCAAATTTGTTGGAGTTTCGGATGAAACTGAAAATCTCGGAAAATTGTCTCTCTCTCTCAGACAGTCCGAGAGAAAAGTGAATACGAGCTTCGCAGATCCATCTCCTGTTAGAGAAATGATGAAAAGCTTTGAGGTTTTTTTTTTTTTTTTCCCGGAAGAAAGTTTTGAGACTTTTGAGGAATGGAGAGAATTCACTGTATATAACTATTTCTAATTTTATCTAGACTCGTCAAAAATTAAAATGTTTTAAGGAGGAGAATTGAGAAGTGCCAATTATGGCCAGTGACGAGGTGGCTTAAGGTGGGCTAAAAAAAAAAAAAAAAAAAAAAAAAAGATAAATAACAAAACAAAAGGACAAGTTGGCTAACTTGATTTAATGATTGTCTAAATAATAATGAATAAAGAGGGAATTCCTAGCAATATTCTTCCCTAAAAACAATAGTACTTTCTAATTTTTTAAGAATCTTAAATAAATAATGACAAATAATATTTAACTAGCAGTTATTTAGGATTTTTTTTTGGTATTTTTAATCAACGGTTATCAACTCGTATGAGAAACTTAGGGGTAATTTTTGAATAGGTTCAAAGCAATAGGGAGTACTTTTTGAATTATCAAAAGACAAAAGTATAAAAACAAATATGAAATGTAGCTAAAACCAATTAGATACTTTTTAGATTCTCCAATTTTGCAAGAGCCTTTAATCTTTTCTTTTTTAAAAAGAAAAGAAAAGATGATGAAAGAAGTATTAGCCAAATTATGTAAAGGACAAATTTTCAGACTTCCTACTGTTCTACTCATTTTTTCACCTTATTGAATATCTAAAACGTGACATTGAATGTTACGACCTTTCAAAAATTTATACCTTGAATGTAAATGTTATATATTATATTTGAGACTAATAAATAAAAAATGACATTTTGATGTGTTATTTTATATTTTATTTTTTTTGCTTTAATATATAGTGTTCTTTCAAATTGCTATATCATAATCAGTAAGTTCTAGAAATTATAAGAATAAATTTACAAATTAGAGAGAGAGTTTAAGATTATCTTGACAAGGTTTGATTCTTGATTCTTTTACCATGATTCTTATTTGGTAGGAAGAAATAAGAAACGAGGTTTTGATAATATTAGAGAGAAGGCTCGAAAAAAATGACAAGTGTGGGAAGGAAAATTGTTGTTGGTTGGGGTAGGAAATTAAAAGGCGGTTGTCCAAGCTACCTCCACGTAGAGTGTTTTTAAGCTACCTTCTGCGTTATACTCTGTGTGTGAAAATCTTCAATCTCTAGTCCCCAATTTTTTAGTGGACGAAAATGGCGAGGATCGGAAAATTCGCCGAATGCAATGGGAAAAACTTAAGGTGGTATGGGCTATCAAGACATGTCGGCTTTTAATAAAGCTTTAGTAGCAAAGCAAGGATGGCGGCTTTTGATATATCCAAACCTACTTATGGCTCGCGAAAGGCTCAATATCTCTTGAATTATAGCTTTCTGAAACCCTCGCCTGGTCATAACCCGTCTTATATTTGACATAGCACACTATCTTAGCATTCCACTTGGTACCCAACTAAGAGGGATGACTGCCTCCTCCCTTGACTCTCTTACTTAGCATTTTGATAATAAGTCCAATTATAAATTAGAAATTAGAAATGAATTCTCTAACGGAGAATAGCTAGCTCATTCCTACTAAAGTCAAGATTCACTATGGCGTGCGTGCTCATCATGACATCTGCTACCTTGAGTGGTTTCTCGATTGGCCCCGGTTGAAATGGGTGCGTGTTTGGTTGAAGTAGTAAATTATAGAGAAAGTGTACTGGAGTATTATCAAATATGTCTCCCGTGTTTGGAATTATTTTTATTTTTATTTTTTATATTTTTATAGAAAAAAAATAAAAACGATTATAAAATAGTATTTGACATAATTAAAGATAAAAAATAGAAATGAAAATAATTTTTTAGTTTAATGTACAATAGAAGAGAAATGTTACTCGTTTTTAATTTTTTGTTTTCATTTTCTGCTCTCTCGAGCAGCAGAGAGAGAGAGACATTAATTAGTTTTTTATATTAAAAATAATATCTTAATAAAACTACTAAATACATTTTTAAAAATAATTTCTGTCTGAGATTAAAAATATTTTCATTTCTATTTTCATACAAAAAATAAAATCATTTTAAAATGAATTCTAAACGTACACACTCATCATATTATAGATTCACAGGTTTCTAAAAGCTCTTCTCCAGCCAAAACTGTTTCGTGCCTTGCCGGTTGTTGGTGTAGTGAAATTTAACATAAATGTATGATAGCCAGAGAAGGAGTGTTACTCAGCCAAAACTATTGGAACGTGTTAGCACCCCGATAATATGACGATGATTGAAGTTTGTATTAATAAGAATAAACGAAGTACATGAAAAAAATGCAGAATAAAGTAAATATCAAACCACATGTTTAGAGTGGTCCACTCTCGGAAGAGATACGTCCACTATTGGAGCTGGGGGATTTCACCATATGTCAAAGAAATTACTAGTCTAGAGAGCTTTTTGATTACAAAGGGTTCGTTCATTTATATTTTTTAAGTTAGAATGTAGATCTTAATTTGAATTAAAGTGTATTTGAGTATTATTTAAGTTGAGACTCTAATTTGAGTTTGTGGTTAGATGTGCACATTTTGAGTTATATTTGAATTGAGAATTTATTTGAGTTTGTATTTAGATGGGTCAAAACTTAAATTTGTATTTAAATAATATTTTAATAAAAACTCAATAGTGATGAAAAATTTTAATAGGCTATATAAGTGGGATTTTATTCATCTTTTTGTTGTGGGCGCATAGAAAAAAATCATCTTAATCAGAATTAAAACAAAAAAGTTATGACATTTTTAAGAATAAAATAAATATTGTTCATTAATTTGAGTTTTAGTTTAAGAATTTGAGTTGAAGGGAGAACTTGAACTCAGATTTTAATCATAAACTCAAATTAAAACTCAAGTTCAAATTTACATTTTCTAAAAAAATATAAACTTGAAGTTGTAACTTGAGTTTAATTTTTTTTTTAATTTAAATGTAAATGAAGAAGCTCAAAGTGATTTCTGTAAATGAAAATCGTAACCCCTTTCCTAGAAAGGGTATAGCCTATTTATAGAATGTTCTTCGAAGTGGACATCTGGGACCATCTTGTTGCCATGGCGCGTGTTCCTTATGGTGGGAGAATGGGATCAAGGTGATATACACGATCATGTCACGTGCCCCTCCTTTGAGGGGTGAGTGATACCCTTCAATCAGATCGTAGGTTGGATCCTTGAATTTCAGAGATGTAATCATCAATTGCCACTAACCAGAGCTTGTTGATTGATCCTGCGATTGGTCGATTATCGCAATCGATTCGTCTCAACAATCATCCTAATGAATGCTTTGGAAAATCCTTCACTTTATTCTTCTCGAACTCCCGGTGGACCAACCATCGATCGATCAGCGAGCCTTCCGTATTGTTATCTTGGTTCGATGCTCACCTCCGAAATGCCAGCTTGACAGTCAAAAGATTCGTTAAACAAATCTAACCCCAACAATGTGATTATTCGAGAACTTTGGCATTGACACGGTAATTAGAGACATTCCATTGGAGATTCTCTTGCAAAATTTGGCATCAATAAAATGGATGAAAATGCTGTTTGGCTTCAAGGATGAAAACATAAGGAAAATTTTAGGAAATTTTGGGACAAATATCCATAATAAAAACATGAGGAAAGATATATGGAAATTTTTCATAGAACGTGATACTTTTTGTGCTACTCCAGGAGTTAAATGTTTGAAATATAAATAAATAAACTCTACACGGGAAACTTTATACATAGTGGATAGAAATCTAAATACTAAAAGAAACTTTATAGGCCAACACGATTTTTTTTTTTAAGGATAATTATATTCCAAAACAAAGAAATATAAACACTAATACTGCAATAAATAACCTCTCAATACAAGTAAAACTTAACCCTAATCAGTGATTGGTTCCACCACTTAAAGTGAAAACGCGGGAGGAGAGAAAACATGCACGGAGCTCCCACAGTAAGAAACTGGCACAACTATCAATCACATGTATGACTCTTTAAAAACACACATCTATAATCGATGAAAAACTCCGATCAATAGAATCAAAGACACCTGCAAACCAAAGTTCACCTAACACACCGCTGAGACATAACTCAAACAGGCGGAACACAAAAATAAAAGTGGAAGGTGGGAAAATCACTCTGCTTACATACTGAAACCAAAAAAAAAAAAAAAAAAAACCAACACGTAGGTGGAAGTAATGCCTATATTTTAACTAAACAACTACCACTAAACGGAGACAAAACTCCAACACAGAAGCCGCCGGAGTGAAGCCGACCACCATGAGCAGAAGAATTAGGGAATATAATGCTGCACAGGATCGAAACCAAAACGGAGAGAGCAACCCTTCGTTGGCATGTGAGATCCGCGCTTCGTGATTGCCTACTGCCAAATAAGATATGCCTCCCACCCAAATTTTCACGTTCCATGGTAGATGAATCCCTCAAGAAGCATATCCACCCAAGTACACGCATGCCTCTTGCCGACGAACACAGCCGAGATTCCATCCCCGATGCAAAGCAACCATCCACTGTCGTTCTCATCCTTAACGTCACTTCCCTGAGAAAGAAGAAGCCCCTATGGTGCAAAACCTCTAGACCACAGATCAGCCCCACACAGGCGTACGCAATCCCAATGGCCTTAACCTTCTCAATAAAGATCTCCTTCTCTAGCCACAAGGCCGAACCTTCCTCCAGAACCTTCAAGGTGAAGGTCAAATCTCCGTCTCTGGGGCCGAGAATCCGATGACCAGCCAAGCGATGGCACCAGAATCTGGCCTTAAGGAGGCACAAAGAGAGTAAACTTAAACCCACTCGAGAGAGAGAGAGAACCCTAACCGTCAGAAAAGCACCTAACATGAATTTTTTTATTTTTTTTATTTTTTTTTTATTTTATGTTTAAGGAATGAGAATTTGATTTCTACAAAATGTACAAACTATTATCACAATCTATTTCATTAATAACAACAACTAATCAACAAAAAAATTAACAATCGATTTTTTCTTTTTTTTAAAAAGAACTTTTCATTTTTTTTTTTTGTATTTTTCAATATTTCCCCAATATATTTTTAAATTTTGTACAAAGTACACACTGTCCTCGTGAAAAACAATATTTTTCTAGCAATATTTTTTTAAAATATTTACAGATGTTTTTACCGACAATTTTTTCAAAAGTGTTTTACATCCCCAAAGATATTTACCTCTTAATTTCTAAAATTTTGACAATTTTTATCCATGTAGGCATTGTAGTTTGATATTTATCACCCAGTTGACAACCTATTCCCACAAAATGAAGGTTGAACACCAAATGAATTTCATAGTTTTGAAGCTTCTTTTCTATCTTTAGAAGCGAGTCTCTTTGCACTTGGAGTCATTTAAAACATTATTAATGAATAAGATGAAGGCGTATTTTAATAAAAAAACTTATACTATTCCATTCTATTCTAATGACTAACCGTGATTCTAATGCTAAACCAAACAATGGAAATTGAATAAATCTTTTCAGATTCTCATTCCATTATATTCCTATTCTCACTCTATTCCACCAAACCAAACATCCCCTAAGTATTTGCTCATAGAATAGTTCAAAGTATAACCTTAATTGGCAAAGCACTAGAAACATCACGAGTCCGCAAGATAATAGTTGTTTTATTATTATTGTTCTTACTATTATTTGGCGAAGACAAGATATTGAGTTATTGATCCTATTCTCCCCGAGTTTGGGATCACTACGCTGCACAACAAGTATTCAGAAATACTAAATTGACTAGCATCTTATCTTTAGCATTAGGAGTTCAGAAAAGGATGGCATAAACAAGGACGAGGACGAGCTATAAGTCAGTGTCAGGCATAAAAATGTTATCCTAATAAAATTATACATCTCTAATGAACATAATTAGCGCAAATTCAGATATTACAAGCTCACATCATTCCACTCATAAGGTGAAAAGACGGCTGAAATACCAGGGCCCTTCTGCGATGGAGTTTCAATACTTGTATATCAGAAGGTAACCCAGAAATGTGCACAAAACAAAAGGGCTGAATCTGATAATGCATTGCGATAAGGTAATTCGATCCTAATATATCTGCAAAAATGATTAGAGAGGAAAAATACAACCAAATATGTTATGTCCTAGAACTAAAGATCATGCAGTGGCCAAAAAGCCAAAAGGCATTCTAGAAGTTGTATCAGTAGGAAATCCATAGGCACCGCAAACAACATTAATAACATCACATGTGATTTTACTTGTATCATGAGTTATACAGCTAACCATCTTCACATGGCAACATCAGGATCCAGTCTTCGCTGAATAGCAGCTGCGGCCTACAACAAGCAGTGAAGTGGTCATCATAAGTTCAAAAGCAAGGGAAAGATTGAAAATTGAAAGTTGCAACAGAGAGACAACTCATAGTCTGCCATCATACCTCTAAATTTCCAACCTTGTACTGATAAACCATCTCCTCCCTCAGTTGAGCTTGCTCCTTCATTGCTTGTGCCTGGTAACCAAACGTATTGGTGAGTTAGAAATCATAAAAATGATGAATTACTGGGTCAGAAACGCAAAATCAAAGGTAGAATTGAAGCAACGCAGCAGAAACCAACCATTCCACTCTGCATTGAGCGCTTCAAAGCGTCCACCTCTGCTTCCTTTTGCTTTTCACGTTCTCTCAGCAGTTCTTGGCTGAAAAAAGAAAGGATATTGTTGATTAAATATCATAGCTGAAACCTCTTGGGACATCAAACGCAACTTAAAAAAGTCATCGAACTTTAGCTAGCTGAGTAAAGATTGATTTTATTTTAAGCATTTGAGGTTGAATAACATAAGCTACGAGTATTAGGAGTAGGAGTATTAACAATGGTTATCTGTTTTAAAATTTGTACCTTGGCTTTAAAATATATATCAGACCAAAGAATCATATGGGGTAGAAAAAGGACCATTTTGCATACATAGAAAAAGGTATAGAAATTATCATCCCGATACCCTGTAGTTTTTTGCTTTATTACATTGGTAGATCTATGTTCTAATAATCCCAAATAGTTACCCCGTAATTCCAGAATATTTATTACGAATACCCTAAGGCCTTTTTTTGGTATACGAAAAGTCTTTTTACAAGGATAGATGTGGATCTCAACAGCTAAATATAGTCTTAACGGCGTGGTTATAGAAGTACCTAACAAATAACGGAAACAACCCAATTATCAGAAATAGGAAACTTATGAAAACAGTTTTGGGAAACTTAGTAAACCCCAATAAAATATCAGGAAATTAAACTTAATACTAGTTTCTATTTTTATTCTTGTTCCTCATCAAGAAGCCTCAAGGTAATAAAAAACCAGCAAAGAAAAAGATGAAAATCATGTCCCATCCCATCAAAGAACGTGGCCGAACAAATATCTAGAAGTGGTCGAAGCAAGGTCACATTTGTGTGTGTGTACGCGCGCATTTTGTTTAATTATTTTAGATTGGATTTCATCTTTTTTGTTTTGTTTTGTTTGTTTGTTTGTAATTTCATGGTTTTTTTTCCCTTTAAAATTGTTTGACTGATGATTCGCAGCATGTCAAGAACTGTAAGGTTCTTTGCTTTGTATAAAATTAAACCACAGGCTCCACCGCTTGTGCAAGCCCTAGTCAATTCTCTTGGGATTCATTCTTGGGAACATACTGCCTTGGTGGAATACTCAACACGTTAGCTACAACATTGCAGACTGCACAGGCTGATACGCACAATACCTAGTATCCATCGTTTATGGCTAGGACTACTAGGGTGTCTAATGCCATTCGCCTCCCTTAGCTTTTGGCTCTCACTGTCAGTGTCAGCCCAGCAATGTGCTTTTGCCGTTGGCATTCTTTTTGATCTCTACACATTTCACTGCTCCATCAAAAATTCGCTCTATCCCTACCATACTCCAGCTTGGTAGTTTGCACTGAGTAACCCCGATGAGAAGAAAAAAGAATGCGTTAAGAGACCCTCATGGCCCAACTCTAGACACTCTTAAGATCTGCTTTTCAAACTTGCTCCTATTTTGAGTTAAGAGATAGATAAATAAACACATCCTATTGCACAAATCAGGGGCGTTCGTAGTGATTGAGGAGAAAGGAAAAAAAATTTCACGTTCTTCTTCTCATGAAGGGAGTTCTTTTTTTCTTTTTTCTTTTTTTTCTCTATTGATCCATTGGAGCTTTCTCTAGACCTCTGAGAAAATAATGAAAAAAAAAGGTTTAAATGGTACAATCCTCTAGTCACCCCAGAATGAAATGGGCGATCTAATAGTTCTTGGTTTGTGAAGATAAATTGTTAGGTGCTCTATTTAATTTTTCCCATTGAGGCCGAACCTAAACTTGTGCTCCGCGAGATAGTTGTCCATATACTGATAAGGAATATATGGATTCTCGAGAAGAGAAAAGCCGTGGTGTAAAGCACATTTCCTATCCCAAAAAAAAACAGCTCAATGGTACTCAGATAATATATTTTGTTAATTATAGGGGTATTGTTTGGGATTATTAGAACAATGAAGTACCAATGTAATAAAGCTAAAAACTACATGGTACCAGGATGATAATTCCCCTTGAGTATTTTAGCCTAGAAAATACAACGCAAAGTTAATCCTTTATTCATCGAAATGCTGAGAAACAAATCCCCTGTATTTTGGCTATGGGAATCAAGTATTGGAGCAAAAGGATGGCTGAATGTCCCTTCCATGTAGTAGATTCGACAACCCGTTAACTTTTATAGGCCCAACCAATTCTCAAACCCCACCTATCTTGATGGCAAACACTCCCACCTAACTTGGAGATAAAAAGAGTGCCCTTTACCTAGCAACAGCAGTCGCACTTGGGAGAGAAGAACCACTGAGACCTATTCCCCCAAAGAATTTGGTAGGCATACAGAGAAAGCAGCTTCCTTTCAGAGGAATAGGACTAAAATTCTTGTTCTAATCAAGCAATTAAACAGAGATATATTCATAGGATAATAAACCAAACCAGAAAACCTAAGATGCCTGATCACGTTGTGATTTAGGGAAAAAAAATGGAACTAAAATAGCATTACTTAGAACTAAAACATACCGACGTTGTTCTTCATCATTGAACACAGTGCGTTCTGATACCTGGATCTTCTTATAACCTCTCTTCATGTCTTTTTCCATTTTGTGCTTGAAATAAGCATCAAGATTATAATACCTGTAAACGCAAAAAATTAAATAAATACATGTCAATCCATAATGTTACATCAATTCAATTCATTTGATATTTTCCGTGCATTGTATACATTTAGTCCAAACATGTGTAATGAAAACGAGAAGGTGACCCCAAACAAATTATAACACGAAGAGAGAACTATATGCGTGAAACTTTGACCTGTTCTCTTGCCTTCATTTCAACTGGTAATGCATAAATAATGGTTGGTAACTCCTTTTAAAAGTTCTAAGACAAGTTGAATTCTTTCTAACGTAAATTCACTTGTGTCAGAAGGTGTGTGTCCACAAGAATCCTTTAGAGAAAGATAAATATATTTTCTTAATTATAATAACAAAAGATGACAGCAATAGGCATTTTGCATAAAGAGGCATGAGATCATGTGATAAGCAGCTAAACGAAACACGTGCCAACTTCCACTCTCTGGTGTACAAAAAAAGTACTGACTAAAAATATCCTCTTTTTTGATTTATTTATATATTTTTTAACTTATAAGCAAAAGACACTAATCAACTGTACTAACACTGATGTCAAACGTTCATAACTTTTACCACAGCCTCTTAAAGAAGAAGCAAGAAGAATCTGAACATTATAACTTTGTTTAGCGTATTAAAAAAAGTAACAAAACCTACTTTTTGGAAGGAAAAGTCGCTGTGTTGTGGTCTTCCATGAATCTGTCATAACACATAAGAAAGTTGGAATGGATTCATGAAGAGTCCATTGAATCAAATACTAACGTGTTTCAATTGCTTACTTAGCCCAAAAAAAATGCAACCAAAAACATAAACACTTACTCTTTAAACATCTGCTTTTCTTCCCAATTAGGCAGGCTTTCCAGGTTAACCTACAACGAGAGATTGAATCAAATATAGCTTGAGAAAATTTCTTACTAACACACTTAAAATTAAGAGTTCAGAACACATTGAATACAGAGAAACAAGTTACCTGTTTTACCTCTGCCAACCATGCCGTGAACTCTGGCCGTTTATTCCTACAAAATACAGGTGATCACAAACAGAAAGAAAAATGAAAAAGAGGGCATTCGTTTACTCGATGTGGGTTTTTCCGGTTTTCTTTGATTATTTTTGTTTAAAAGAGCAAATAGCTATTTTGGTTAGTAGTGTTTCAGTTTATGCTCCTACCTATTGTCTGGATGTACCAAGAAAGATGTACACTCTAATGAGGCTACTACGAAATATTTACTCATGGGTAAAGCAAAGCCTACATCAGGATAACCCTTCTTTGAAACACTTTGGTAGTGCTCCTGGTACAAAATAAATCAGATTGATTTTTCGATCAAAAACCAATGTAGCCCAATCGTTAAACCATGAATGATTTCATATAGAAGGCAATTCACACGGTTTTAAACCATGAAGGCTGCACTTACAAACAGAAGCAACTCTATGGAATAAAACCATAGTAAGTCCTAGAGGAGTTTTCATACTTCTCAATATTAAGAGCCTTTGATATCCATACTTCATCGCATTTCTCCCTAATTATTCTGGGTAATAATTCAGGATCCTAATTAACCACGAAAGCTAAGCTTTCGAGTTATGCATGATTGGCAATTCACATCTCATCAAGTGAATAACAAAGTTCTCAACAAGTTTCTTCAAGTTTCCTGCCGTTTCTCAGCAACCAAACAGGAATTCTAAATAAAATAAAAGTAAAGAAAATGTGAAGTACAAGAATAGCTCACCACATATCAGTTTCTTTGATAATCCCGTACTTTCCCCACGAATTCGTGACGGCTCCTGTCTTGCCTCTATCCTTCTTCCTCCTCTTTTCCTTCTTCTTCATCCTCTTTTCCTTCTTCTTCCTCTCTTCTTCCCTCTCTCGTCTCCTCCTCTTCCGCTCCTTCTCTCTCTTCCTCTTTTTCCTCTCTCTCTCCTCCTCCTTCTCTCTCCTCCTCTTCTTCTCCTTCCTCTTCCTTCTCCCCCCCTCGCTCTCGCTCTCCTCCGACTCCGAACTTTCCGACTCGGAATCCGAGTACTCGGACTCTGAGCCCGAGCTCGAATCCTCTTTGCTGCTGTACCGTCTCCGAGATTTCCCCTTTCTTCTCTCGCCGTCCGAGTCGGAACTTTCCCTCGTTTTCCTTCTCGATTTGCCTTGCTTTCTTCTATCTTCTTCGGAATCGGAACCGGAGTTTTCTCGCGATTTCCTGGATTTTCTTTCGTTTTCTTTTTCTTCTTCTTCATCCCTTCTCTCTGAATATCCTTCGGCTTTCTCCGGCATCAAACCGTTTCGATCTCCGGCCATTTTTGCTTCTTCAGTGTGAGAGAATCGGTGATGTGGAGAACAAGGTCCGTGACCAAATGAAGGGTCCTTTTGTAAGTTGAAGTCTGGCAAAATTTAAACGAACATATTTAGAATATTATAAATTAATAAATATTATAAAAATACATAATAATTACCATAATAATATTATATTCTATACGATATAGTCATTATTTTAATAATATAATATTCTCAACAAATTTTTTTTTTCTAAGAGTAAATAATATTTTTTCTTTGAAAGAAGTAACTAACATATTAATGGATAAATATTTATATTCTGACATAAATACAATATTTAATGATAAACACTTGATATAAACGTTGAGTTTGTCAGTAAATATTATACTTAAACAAAATAAATAAATTTATCTATAAATATACTATTTACTTCAATTATTTAAAATATATATTATTTACTTATTATTTTATCTTTTATCCTTTATTGAAATAAGGGAATATTGAGAAAATCAAGTAATACAATGGGGTTAATTAGGCTTGATATCACATCCTCTACTTGCTTATTCATATGTACCCTCTTCTCCTATTCGATTTGAAACAAATTACTTTCTAGTAACAAAAGGTGATTCTACTGTTGTACGGTAAAATCTGGAACTCTAAATTAGGCGTCCAATAAAGCTCACGCGTCATAAACAATGGCATTAAGTGATCGAGGACAACTCTACCTTAACAGTCACGTCAGATGGCAGTTCTCTTTAAGAGCAGATCGCTAATTAAGGGAGTGGTATACATAAGAAGTCAACCACTTTGAGGAGATATAAAGGACAACATGAGATCGACCGCACCAACAGCTGTAGGCAAAGATGGTTATGAAAGCGCTTATGAAGTTGAGTCTACACGAGTCGAGAGATACGAGATTTACTTCAGGATTTGCTATTTGTAATTCAAATAAACGAAATTTAAGTAATAAAATCGTCCTAATTAATTGTAATCTCCATCTTTCGAGAAATTATCTCAAAAGATGGGAGAAATATCTCCAAAATTAAATAGAGAAAATAACTGGGATAATGGTCAACAGATAAATAAAAGATTGTAAGTTAAGAAAGCCGAGAGTCTGACTCAGAGCAATTAGAGTGTAATTCTCTCTAAAAATAGTGAATTCTCTCCTCCTCGGTGAGACGTAATCAAGAGTGAACCATGTGTTTTTGTTTTTAAATTACTTTCAAACGTAATTTTGATTGTAAAAACTCTGCGCAAACCTTTTGATACTGGTTATATTTTTGGTGACCAATTTTCACAGTCAAAATATGCCTTTAAAAAAAATTAAACCGCACAAAAAAAATACCGGTTCAGTAATTGTTTTAACTAAAAAAAAAAAAAAAAAAACAAAGATCCAGTGATTCACCTAGATCCGTCGACGTTGTGGAGATATCGTATATTGACATAACAAGATCTCTTCGCCTCGTCGCGAATGTCGCAGTCGTCCACTCCTCGCCAGAGTGTTGTTCTCCTTCTCACCGCCGCAAATCTTCACACAATTACGAGATGCTTCATTGCAACCTCAACGCCTCCTTCTCTCCAACGATGGCAACGACTAGTTTTCTACCATTTCAATCGACATGTGTCTTCACCAAAGAGATCTCATCATGCAGCGCACTGCCCGTGCGACAATACTGCATTTGCGTGAGTCCCTCAAGCAAAGGTGCGACTCCCTCTCTTGTCTGTGAGGTGGAGAGAGGAGAGGTCTTAACTACAATGTCGACGTCCGACAATGTTGTTAGCGATTGTCGGCATGAGTTGTGTTAAGCGGCAAACGAGAAAATGAGAGTGAGAAGAAAAGGAGATTTTTGTGTAGTATATTATTGACTGATGGTCATTTTTTTTACAAGGCCCATCAGAGGGTAAAAGTCCAAAATCCTATCTCGTGATGTGAATAGGCTCGGTACGTGGATCCAAGCCACGCTCAGTGAACTAACAATCAAAGTGAAAAGTGTGTAGTCAAACCATCATAATGCACCCAAAAGCGAGACCAAATTGGATAGAATTTCACAAATAGCCAGCATCCTTAGCTACAGATCGATTTATTTTATTAAAAACAAACCTAGGAGAGAGAAACAAGTAGAGTGAGAAAGAGAGATCCAACCTGATAGAGAGCAGAAGTGATTAGAAAGCTGAATTGACAAAGGCATCTGATGACGACGCCGACAAATATACAGCGATAAGCAACGAGGCGGCGATCAGAAATTTCTCGGCGGATAAAATTGAAGAGAGAGAGAGAATTGAAAAGAAAAGAGCGCAGAGGGAGATCTAGAGAGAGAATCAAACCTGTGTGTTCTGCTTGTTGATGTCCTTGGCACGTTGATGGTGAGGTAGGAGATCTGGCTTTTTCTTCCATGGCAGAGAGAACGACTTCCATGGTAGAGAGAACGATAGAGAGAGGTCGAAGATGGGAGAAAGGAGTCGAGAGGAGAACCCGACAAATTTTCCTCATTAAAATTTTGATTTTCCTCACCAATTTTTGGAGAAAATGAAATCCACCTGTCACGTTATAAATTTTCTACCCATTTTTCGGTGTTATTCTTTTTCCCCTCTTTCCTTTGGTTCCAAACAAAGGAAAATGAAAATCCACAGAATATTTTTGCTTTCCTCCAAACAATTCGGTTCCAAACAAACCCTTAGTTTATCTAATGAAAAATTATTTATATAAGAAGCCATTAGCATTAAGTGTATTCGAAATAAAAAGCAGAAAATACAAAAAAGAAGCCTAAATTATTTAAGAAGGGAAACAAATTAAAGTAGGAAAGATCGATCATGGTTAATCCCTCTATGGACCTTTTCTTTGCCTTGAACATCTTCTTCTTTCTGCGGATGTGTCAAGCTCATAATTTAGCCTCAATGTTGTACGTGTTTAGAGACTCTAATGTTGATCTAGGTAATAGTAATGTACTATAGACTTATGCTAAATCAAACAATGCAGTTATGAGGACTTGAAAAATGTAGAACATATGCTTTCCTTGAATAGTTTTTGCCTCCTCGATTGAGTGTGTTTACAGGTTTCAACAATAAACCTCTTTGTAGACCGGTTTTGTTTCCGCACCTCTAAAGACATGTGGAAACGTTTTTGAAAACAACTAATGTCTCGTTCATTTTACACAATAAACCTCTTTGTAGACCGGTTTTGTTTCCGCACCTCTAAAGACATAAAGACATGTGGAAACGTCTTTGAAAACAACTAATGTCTCGTTCATTTTATCGATTCGAGTTTAGAATTCGAGTTTTACTACAATAAAAGGCTCTCAGAAACATTCACATCTAACTTTTTTACTATAGTAAAAAGCTCTCACATAAAATCGCATCTCAATTTGAATTAAAAACTCGAATCAGTGAACTAAATGAGTCTAACAATTCTAAACGCACCCGATAAGTCCTTTGAGCTATTATCCCTAGAGATGGAACTTCAGGATGCCTAACCTAGGCCCAACAACTCAGAGAGAAATTTTAGGCCAGACTAAGCCAGACTGACATAGCCTGGCCGACTCAGTCCTAAATAAAAGAAGGAAAGTCTAGCTAGCCTTAAAACCTGATGGGTTTGGTAGATTCAAATATTTTGAGGGTAATTTAAAATTAAAAATAAACACAAAATCACAAATCAAGAGTTTAAGAGAAGCTAAAAAAAACCAGACAAAAAAATCAAACCAAAAAAAATAAAAAAAATAAAGCAGCCATAAATCAAATAATAAAATACAAAGAGAAAGAAAAATAAAAAACAATGAATTCAAATAAAAGTCGAGCAAAGTAAATGGACATGGCTATATATACAAAGAGGTATAATGGTAACAAATCAAATATCTTCTAAAAATATGCTTCACTTAATTCTAGAAATATGGAATCCCTTAGATATTGCATAACATATTGCCATGTTATTTGTTTCCAATGGCTTGGCACATATTATGGGATGAGGAGTACTGCATTTGAATGCTTGCCAGGCTAAATTTCTTGAATTTCCAACTCTGTTAATTGCTCAAGAAACAAAATGAAACACTGCTATAAGTGTTATACTTTTGCGATGTAAAAAATGCCTATTTATGGGATTTCTAAAGAGGAGAAAATTAAAGACGCTATGTTAAATGTGATGGTAGCAGACGTTTTATGCTAATTTGGTGTTTAAATAATTAAGACCAAGGCCCGACTATGAATCTTTTGTTCATTATCATTAATCTAAAAACAGAATTTAAAAAAAAATGATAAATTTCTTTTTTAAAAAATTTAAACATTTTTTAGTAGAATTTTAAGCCAAGTCAGGTGTAACGCCCTCTAGAATTAAACATGTTTAATTATGTTAATTGTGTATATTAGTGTGCCCAAAATTAATTTTTTCTGATTAATCTTGTGATTAAAGATTAAATTTTTGAGTTATTTTAAGGAGTTATAAATTACTTTCAATTTTTCAATTTTCACCTCAAAAGTTTTTAAAAATACACTTAATTTTAATGTATTTTTATTTATTTCTTTTTCCTATTTCTTTTTTTTTTTTCTTTCTTTTCCTTTTCTTTTCTTTTTCTTTTTTTCCCCTTCCTTTTTCCTCCCGTGGCTACCCAGACATAGCCCAGCCCCCCTCTCTCTCTTTCTTTATCTTTTTCTTCTTCCTTCTCTGGTTCCTCTCACACCGCCCATCTCCCTCTCTTTCTTCCTTCACGCTGGCCATTTTCTCCAGGATCTCTCTCCGGCGCTCTCTCCCTTTTCGGCCGTTTCTCCCTCTCTTTGTTCTCTCTCTTGGCTGGCTGGCTGGCCGAGAGCCTCAGAAAAAAAAAAAAATGAACGAAAATGGGAGAAACTGGGGGAGGCAAAGCTCCATCAACTGATATAAGGTAAAACCCTTTGAAACCCACTCTTTAATTCAAATTTTAAGCTTGAGAAAGTTTGATTTTGGTTAGATAGGAATAATTTTGAGTTAGGGTTTGGATTTGAACAATTGTTGTTGAAATTGATTGAAATTTAGGGGTTTTCAGTTATTAGACTTGTTTAGTCGATTGGAAACTGATTTTGATGGATTCTGGAGAATTATTTTGAAATTGAACTTGATTTGCAAGTTTGGCATTTTTCCTATTTATGTCGGCATGCTGCCGAAATTTCTTTAAAAAGTTATTTTTAAGCTGAAATTAAATAGGAAACTAAACTCATGGATTGGATTTCAATCTTTAAAGAACCCTCAAACTGATTATAAAATCATTTGTGAAATTAGATTTGAGTCAAGGCACACTAATAAGAAACAATTAAACATGATTGAGCTTAATTCATTTTAAGAATGAAAAATATTTCTTAAGATATTGCTTTTGTGATAAAGCTAGTGGAGAAGGTCAAGTATTAAAGCTTTAAGGAAAGCGGAGACTAGGAGAACGGTAGGCTAGCCTAGGTTTGACATCTGAGAGGTATGATATTCTTGTCCATATCCTTGTTAGCCTCACTTTAAATGATTTTGGCCAATGAAAATGTTTTAGAACAAAACATGTTTAAAGAAAATGATTTTAAAGAAATTGCATGAGAATGCTATTAAGTTTTCCAATGATTTTGGAAATGAGATTTTAAAGAGTATCATTTCTTAAAATGAAATATTTTAAGTAATGATACAATGCATAGTGGCCTCAGAGATTGGGATGTGAGGATCGCATCCTTGGGGGCAGGTCCCGAAACCCGTACGAATCCACTTCTTGTTTAGTAGAACTATGACTCTGCGCTTTTCACTAGACAGACATTTTACCGCTCCTTGTTCAGTGGTATGATGAGCTGTACACTTTCATTATACAGATATTTTCTATTATGTGAGTATGTCCTTTTCTAAAAAGGATGATCGGTTCCGGGTGTATATCTTCAGACCATGAGTACCTTTATTTATAATGTTTTATAAAATTGTATGATCGGTTCCGAGTGTATGCCTTCAGACCGTGAGTACCTTTATTTAAAATATTTTTATAAAAATTATATCCTACTGGGCATTCCGCTCACTTTTATTATGTTTTTAATGTTTTAAACCCCTCCTCTAGAGTTAGCGGTTTAGATTTGCAGCTTGACAAGTGGATGCCAATGGATTGAAGGTGCGAAATTCAAAGCGGTACGTTTATTTCGAATTTATAGTTTTAAATTCTGAGATGTACTGTATTTCTATATGTAAACTGTATTGGTCAACATTGTCCCTGAGTTGTATTATTTTTCTTGGACTTAATGGACTATTCTAAATATTATTTGTGAAATAAAGTCTCCGGAGCAGACTATATTGATATTTATGTAATTATTTTGTGATTTGGTTAAACAGTCCAGTTTAATTAAGTTAAATTTTAAAATAATCACGGCCCTATCCTTGGGGTCGTGACAGTTTTTGATATCAGAGTACGGCTTCGAATTCTATGGGAAATCGAGCCTGTGTGAGTTTTTACTGAGTTGTGTTGTTCTTTTAACAGTTTTGTGTCGGGACATGTCGTAAAATATTAGTTACTACATGATACAGTTACACTTGAGAATTTGACGTTAGAGTCCGTTTCAATTTTCCTAGAGTACTTTGATGGATGGAATTCATGTTTCTATTATCGATGTTTATCGATATGAAGATCGAGGGTAAAGTTGACTTTGAAGTTTTCGGGAGGTATTGATTTCGACCCGATGGTTATTGATTTGTTTCCATAAGTTCTCTTGACTCTTGTCAGTTTCAAATTCAAAATCAGTATTGACTTCAAAATTCTCATGAAGATTTTAGTTTTGAGATGATGTTCGTTCTGACTCCCGCGTAGTTGAATTCCCGATATTGGTCCCTTCCACTTTTTGACACGTCTAACATGGGGGTTTAAGTTGATGGAGAGCGACGACTTGAAATTGAGCAGTTTTGATAATTAAAGTTTCCTTCCTCCTTGATCGGTTCTTTCCGATTTGATCAATGCGCAAGTTTAGTGTTGCAATCTAGCTTTGTATCCTAGCTACTCGTTCCAATTCACTGATGCATTCTTTTATCTCTTGAGAGTGTTTTGCTCAAGAGTGTTTACTTCATGGATTCTTGTGTTAATGAGACGCCATTCTTTCTTCTATTGATGACAATGGTGGCTATGGACTTCGTCAAGAGATTGACGCTTATCTCTGATATTAAATTATGTTCAGCTTTTGTTTGGGAAGCGTGGTAGGTCATAACCCACAGGTTCCAGGATTCCAATTTCGAATTCTTTTCTTAATCCATTTTGACAAGGAGTTGGTCTCTTCGTTATTATTAGTGAATTGATTCGTGAAATTTTTATATCATAGTCCTATGCCACTCAGGAATTGAAATTCTTCCTTGTCTCGAGTGTTAGTCTCGGTGATTCCCTCGTTAACTTAAACCATGCCATTGTGAGACATTGACTATGGATCTTAATCCTATGCCATTCTCTGCCATTTCACTTTTGGGATTATAAGTTCGAGCTCTATTCTTAATCTGTTCTGAACTGGAGTTGGACTTTTTA